GAAAGGGCGGAAGGGGGCGGGGCTGGAGGAGAGAGGGCCAGAGGCTACTTGGCACCAGCGGGGACTTCCTCCCTGGCAAGGTGAGCAAACTCAGAAGAAGCTGCAAACCACGGCCATGCCGGCCCCCGGGCTAGGGGGTCCCTGAGTCCCCAGCCAGCAGACCGTGCCGTCTCTCCGCTCTCATTCTGAACCAGGGAACTGGAGCCCAGAGGGGTAGGATGCACCTGCCGGCAGAGCTGCTGTGGCAGCCGTGAGCAGAGCTCTCCAAGCCCAGGCTCCTCTCTCCAACACCTGTTCCTAGGCAGAAAGCATGAGCCCCGTGCCAGACTTGCCTGGCGTCAGACCCTGACTCCAACGTAAGGCCGTGTGACCGCCAACGACCTCCCCGTCCTCCCTGTCTCTAACACAAGGCCCACGACGGAGAGAACGGAGTGATGTTGCAGGGTTTTGTTGTGCAGTAGCAGGTACGGGTGGCTTCACAGGTGCACGGGTCGGCGTGTCTGTTGCCGTCCCTGTCACCTGTGCATCCCAGCCCTGCCTTAATCAGCACTCATCCCACGTGGCAGTGACTCTGCAGATGCTGTGAGACCGACCCTTCCTGTCAGAGGCCGAGAGGGAACAAGAGTGCTACCACACCGGGGTGCTCCCGGCATTGCTAGGTGTCCTGTACCTCCAACCAACCGGGCCGAGTAGCGTGACCCCAGCAGCCCACCCGAGGGGTCACTGCAGATGCAACTGGTTAGGCTGAGGTCATGATGGAGCCGGGGGCCTTCACCCAGTGTCTCTGGTGACGACCAGGGAGGGGTCTCGAGTGATGTGGCTGCAGGAAGGAGTGCCAAGGGTGCTGGTGACACCGGCACGGAAAACTCCGCCCTGCAAGCGTGGGAGAGCAGCTAGATTTCAAACCTCCGGGCGGGACCAAGAGGACTAAGGATGCTGCGTTAGGCCTCCCAGTCTGTGGTGGTTTGTTACGGCCGCCACAGGACGTATGCCACAGCCAGCCCGTGTTCTGCTCCAGAACCACCAGCTCGGGTTCTGCGTGGGCCCCGCTACCAAGAAGGGAGAAGCAGAGTACAGAAGCTGGGATCCGGGAGGCCGCGGCACCACGATCAGACGGTTCCCCCTCCAGGGGAAATCCAGCCCCGTCAGCCGCCTTCAAGAGGCGCTCAGCCAACATATGTGTCCTCTGTCCAAAGCTTGTGAGACTTGGCAGTGGCTGTCCCCAGGAAGCAGCCTGGAGGCTCTGGGATCTGCACGTACAACGGTTTGGGAGACGCTCACGGGAACAACCCCAGGAAACACGAGAAAGCAGGGCCGGGCGGGGAAGTTGAACCACAGCGCAGAGGCCCCAGGACCCACACAGGGAGCTGAAGGGCGGGGTGGCCTTTGGGGCTGTCCCAGCTGAGGCCACGAGGCCGGGCCCTTGGACCCACCGTGGACCAGCTGGACCCACCGTGGACACAGCTCCCACCGTGGACCAGCGCTGGACACAGGCTGGCTTCTTGAGGAGCCATGGCTTTGGGCAGCCCGGCTGCTGTCCGGAAAGTTCAGGCGGCTCCATTGGGCCGACCCCATGGAGACCCTGGAGGAGATGGGCGCCAGGCTTGGCAGGCTGCCCGAGGTCTCGCGTTGCAGGATTGCTTACGGGAGGCGACAGGGCTCTGGGCTGGTGGCCCAGCCTGGGTGTGTAGGGCAGCTCAGACACACATGCCAACATGCGTGTGAACGTCTCCACATCCACACGTATGCTGTCTTCCACACACGCCAACCCAGGAGCCCATATGCATGCCCCTGCGCTGGCCTCTGGCCCTCCCTGGGTTCCTGGCTTCATGGCCTCAGGGAGGTGGTGCGCTCCCTCCCAGTCCCAGTCCGTGGTTGGCCCTCGGGGCCCTGGCTGTGAGCCTGGGAGAAGGAGTGCCGGGGCCTACAGAGACCCGCGGGGCGGCTGCAGCTCCGCCCGGTGCAGGATGGAAGCTGCCTGCCTCACCGCCACCTGTTCCAGAGCCACCACAAGACCTCGCGCCTGGACAGGGCGGGGGGACCCACGGGGGGCTCTGAGGTCGGGTGACAACACTGCCTCCCGCCCACAGGGCTTCCACCTCCACCCCGCAGCGACGGCTTCCGCTCACACCTGGACCACGGCGACTTCTTCCCTAGTCTCCCGAGGCTTGAGCAGACTTGGGGCCTTGCCGAGGGTGAGGGAGGGGTGCAGCGCACGGAGGCCAGGACACAGAGCAGGCCGCTTGCAGGCAAGGTCTTTGGCGCCAGATGGGCCGCTAGTCCACCTCAGTCCACCTGCCCATCCACCGCCCCTCCTCCGGCCAACACCCCCATGTGAGCGGCGCTGCCAAGAAGCGAGTCAGCAGCCGCCTGGGTGGGAGCTCATGGAGGCCTAAGCCGCTGCGCACGCCAACACATCGCGCACAGGACGCCAGGGCACACCCGCACAGCTGTCCGCACGGGCTGCACACCTCTGAAAAACGAGCCCCAGCGCCGCCATCACTCCGTTCGGGCTTCCCCTTGACAGGCTCCAGAGCCTGGGGCCGGTCCCCAGTGGGCAAAGTAAGTCTCTCAGTGGGCGGGGCCTCTACGTTACATTCAAATACCAGATGCAAGCAAACAACCGCCTCCCAGAGAAATACAAGCCGGGGCGTTTTAAAAATGAGCCACCTACAGACTGGAAAAATAGAAGAGAAATGCTGTATTAATAACAATTATTTGAGGGTAATAGCTTGTGTTCTTTAATGCAGTTCCAACATAAATGTCAGTGTAAGAAATGATACTGCATTTCACTACTAACAAATCAGGTACTTAGTGTGCTGAGAGAAACCACGGGAACTACTTTAAAGCCACACTAACCAGAGAAACGGCAGAAATATTTATATTCTTAGGAAGGGAGGAAGGAATGCCACTCATGGGTGTATTTAAGGATCCTCCCTCCGCTGGATAAATGGTAACGCGAAACGAGAAATGGAGAGATGACCTCAGAGAAACAACCGCAACACCCAGCTGGGACCCCGCTTCCCAACACACAAAAACCATTTGCTCTGTCCGGGATGGAAATGTCTACGCTGCTTTTATAGCTCGCCCAGAGCTCGCCCAAGCACCCGACACTGGGGAAGGAGTGCGGAAAATCACTGCCCTCCCCCGCTCAGACGCTGCGCCGCGTGCGGGGTGAAGGAGGGGAAGGAGAGAGCCGGTCCACCCAGAGGTGTTTCATATCGAGCGCAGCTCGGCTGAGCCAACCAGCCCTGGCGCCGTGTGGGCGGGCTGTCTCCAGCCAGTTCTCGCCATGCCTCCCCTCCAGACCCCACACGGAGCGGCGTGGAAAATCCCTCTGGACAGCAGCCTGCCGCGTCCACACCTAAAAGCCCTCCCACTGGGCGGGCTCTTTCATCCCTTGTCATTTCTAGCAGCCACTGGGTGTGAGGCAGGGGAGACAGATCCAGCGGCAGCCAGGGCCTCTGAGCCACTTGGTTTTCAATCAGCTCCCAAGGACGTGGGACTCCTGTTCATTGACCATGAGTGGCACTGACACGGACACTACCAGAGCTGTTAGCCCGAGTCGGCGCTTGGAGAGACAAAGGTAACAAACGTTGGCAACCAACAAATCTGGGGGAGTCGCAGGGAGCTGTCTTTTCAATAAATTCCTGGCCCCTTTCCATAGGAGGCACACAACTGAGACACACAGACCCGGATCCACAAGGCCTCGGGTCACAGTGCCCCCCCAGCTCTCTCCCCTCCGGCCTACAGGCCTTGAACGCCGAGAGAGGGCGGGGTCTCTGGTGAGGGAGCCTGCCCCACGCTCACAAAGTTCTCCTCCAGCCTTTGCCAGCATCGTGTGTGGTCGAGAGGAGCAGGATCCTTGCTGATACAGGACACACAGGGCCTTGGCGGGGTCAGCCGCCGTCCACACTGCTGGGAGACAGACCAGCAGGCTCCCTCGGTGCCCATCCCACAACCTCCACTCTTCCTATCCTGCAGCTGTGTTGACGTGGGTAATGAGGATTGATTCAACCTAATCATTTATTAATCCAGTCGCAAAACAATTCCTTGAGAAAATTGTTTAAACTAGCTGGCTATCTGACAGATTTAAGGGGTCAAAATAAGTCTAACAGCAGGTGGGGAGTTAGACAGCGTTCTGCGTCCCTGGCTCCACACACCCCCTCTGACAACCAGCAGATGCGCATGGGCTGGGACCGCACAGGTGCCAAGCGCGGCCTGGCTGTTCCAGCAGCCAACCAAAGCCAACCCATGAGTGCCAGCGCCGGTGAGGTCCAGGTATTCCTGAGGCTGAACAGAAGCCGCCAAGGAGTCACCTGTCAGCTCGTCTAGGAAACTTAAAAGAGCCCGTTCCCTGGCTCCGTCACAACGGCCCTTATTTATGCTCTGCGGGGAGAGGGAAGAGCCGCCAGCCAGGAGCGCCTGCTGGAGCCGCCAGGCAGCTGCGCGCGCAGTTCATACAGCTGTGGAGGGAGCACTCGCCCTGACACCCGGCGCCCGTCCCAGACCCAGCCCCTCTGGGAGACCCCCGCCATGCACAGGTCTGTGCCAGGGACAGGAGGGTGACACAGAGGACTGCTCACTGAGGAGGGCACAAAGACAGAGGCGCCACACACACGTAGTGGACAACCACTGCGGAAAACCTGCGGCTGTGTGATGCATGAGGGCCTAGGCCCCTTGTTGCAAAAAGCACTGACAGATTCCCGTGTGCGTTACAGACCCGGGTGGGCAGGGCTCTGTGAAAGGGGGGCTGTGTGACAGAGGGCGGCTCCCGCTGCCTGCCGCGGAGGGCAGCTGACTGCGGAAGCAGCCTGGAAAGCGCACGCGCTCTGCCTCCGGGATCAGCACGACGAGGCTGCAGGCCTGGCAATGGTGGAGCCGGCGCCTCCTACCAGGGGCCTGCTTCCCCTGCAGTGGAGAAAGCGGGGTGGGTCTGCTGCTGCTCCCCACTCGCAGGTGTGGCTGAGCCGGGGCGGGCGGTCCCGCAGCCCACGTACCTGGTAGGGGCCCTGGTTGCAGCCACAGTAGCTGCTCTCCATGGTGTAGCTCCGAGACACGCCCATCTCCCTCCACACCACCACGCGGGCCGTGGAGGCCCGGGACTTCTCCACGAGGAAGCTACAGCTGCTCATGGTGAATGCCGGCGCCAGCTTAGCGAGGACTTTGGGGAGAATCTACAATAAAAAAAGCAAAACCTGATGAGTCGGGGGTCACAGGAACAGCTTCTCTACGTGTCACGTGCTTGCTTATTGCGAATCCTTTACCAACTCTGAGAAATGGGCGCCGACTTTTCTGTAAATCATTTTGCTGGTAAGAAAAGTGAGGCCCAGAAACGGTGGAAATAAACAGCATCAAGTCCCACAACGCTGGAGAGGCCAGAAGGAAGCCCAAAGGCCAAGCTGGCCAACGCCACACTCGTCCCTCCGTGTGGCTGCGGGCTGCTCCCGCACTGTGCACGTGGCCTCCCCTGTGGCTGGGCTGAGTGTCTGGGAGTCACAGTCCCCCAGGGCCTGGACACGCAGTCACTGGCCAGCTGCTCTGCCCTGGCAGGACACCAGGGCCACGGGGCCACTGGGGAGGCTTCAGCGGTCACCTGGCTCCCATGAGTATGGGAGCGACACGTGAACCCCGCGGTCTCACGCCCTAAGTTGTCGACCTGAGGCCAAGGCAACGGTGAAACCACGGCCTCTGGGCCACGCAGCCCAGCTCTGCTATGGAACAGCTTTCTCATGACCCTCAGTGTCCAGCAGAAGGCACCTGCAGGCCCTGACACCCTGACTGGGGGGCCGCGGTCTCTGCCACCGGACCTCCCCCAAGGGCGGTGACCCAGGGTGATGGTGCACACAGCCCTGCGAGAACTCTCACTTCAGTATCGACAGAACTGCACCACACACCACTGCATGCGCTGTATCAGAAGGAGCGAAACACCAGGCTCTGGGGCAAGCCGTGGAGAAGCACAAGTCGAGAATACAAACACGTCGTCTTTAAAGAGAGGCCGTTTTGTTAATTTCTCAAGCAGTGAGTAAATCTCTTAATCTGGTATTTACTGTCCTGGTGTTTTGTATGCTGCTAATTCCATCACATAATTATTAACTACATTGTAAATTACACATGATATAAAGAAGGGACCACGTGCTAATACGATTTACGATCCTCTCGGAGTTCCACGCGGCCCTCGGACCTGCAGGCGGCCTGACAAGGGGCCACGCAAAGCTTGGTCGGCCCCACCGACTTCTCCAGCTGCCTCCTGGGAGAGACCCGCACAGCACTGCCCACTCGTGTACGCCAACTGTGACCCCTCGCCCCACTTTTGTCCTTCAGAACGTTTAGCACGAGCGCAGGCCCTCGGCACAGCAATGAGGATACAGCCCCACACTGCAGCGCCTGTCCGAGTCCCAACACCACCTCCAATTCCAGCTTCCCCGGGACGGCTCCCTGCTTGGGCCCCTGCCACCCACCCCCATGGGTGACGTCTATGCTCCTGGCTTCTGCTTGGCCCTTGCCCTGGCTAGCGTGGGCCCACGCAGAGTGAATCAGTAGATGGGATACCTGCTCATCTCTGTCTCTCTCACTTTGGAATCAGGCAGAAAGCAGTATTCAAACACCTGCTTGTGTCCCGGCTTTGCCGCCTGGAAACTCCGTGAGGGGATCTGGGTCTCGTTCACCAGGCATCTCTGCGGGCTGAGCAGCTCACGGGTCAGAGCGCGCCCGGAATTACTGGCTGAAATAAACAGAATCCGCCAGTGCAGGGCCTCAGGGGACACACGCTATCCATAGATACCACAGGGAAAGTGATGGAAGACACTGGGAGTAGTTTATCAGCATTTAACCATGTCTTTATATTTGTGAATCTTCACCTTTAGCTGTTCTTAGGTAGTTTTTTTCCTAAGATTTATATTATTTATTTGAAAGTCAGAGTTACAGAGAGAGGGAGAGACAGAGAGAGGTCTTCCATCCGCTTGTTCACTCCCCAACAGCCCCAATGGCCAAGGCTGGGCCAGGCCAAAGCCAGGAGCTAGAGCTTCCTCCGGGTCTCCCACGTGGGTGCACCGGCATCTTCCACGGCTTTCCCGAGTGCATTAGCAGGGAGCCGGATGGGAAGTGGAGCAGCAGGGAGACAAACTGGCCCCCATGTGGGACGCCAGCACTCAGGCGGCGGCTTTATCACTACGCCACAACACTGGCCCCACTTTCTTCTTTTAAAAGGTTTTATTTGTAAGAGCAGTGTTAGGTCCACAGAAAAAAACTGAGAGGGAGATGCAGAGACTTCCCAGGCAGTCCCCGAGGTCTCCCCACGGTAAGCATCCCCCACCGGAGGCGCCCATCGCTTACAACTGAGGAACCAGCACTGCCACCTTCACCCCCCAAAGCCTCAGTCTACACGGGAGGTCAGACGCCGGTACTGACACGAATCCGACCTCACAGCACCGCACGGGATAGCGCCTGCCCCCTCCCGTCTCTCCTTCCCTCTCCCCCGAACCCCGGCAGCCGCTCCTCTGTTCTGTCTCACAGCTGCGCCTTCCTGGGCGCCACACAGTCGGAATCAACTTCTCTTCCCACGGCCTCCTTCCACTCGGCGGTACCTACTGAAGCTTCGTGTCTCCCAAGGCCTGGTGCCTCATTTCCTCTTAGCGCAGAACAGGATTCATTGTCTGCGTGCGTCACGGTTGATCCGTTTACCTACAGAAGGACATCTCGATTGCTTCCCGATTTTGGCAATTATGAATCAAGCTGCTATAAAAACCCATATGGAGGTTTTTGTGTCAACATACGCTTTCAGCTCCCTTGGGCGGGAGCCAGGAGTGTGTTCAGTGGGCTGGACGGTAAGAGGATCGTCAGCTTTATAGGAAACAGCCGTCTGTCTTCCAGGGCGGCTGGAGCACCTCACACACCCACCAGCAGTAAGTCAGCCCTGGTGCTCCCTATCCGTGCCAGCGCTGCTTGTGTGTGGTAGATCTCATGGTGGTTTTCACCGTTTTGATGGTGTGTGGTTGGGAGCGTCTTGGCCATGTGTGTTTATCATCTTTGGTGAGATATATTTTTCCTAAGACTTACTTATTCGAAACGCAGAGTTAGAGAGAGGGAGGGACCTGCAGAGAAGGGAATTCTCCATCTGTTGGTCACTCCCCAGAAGACTGCGATGGCAGGGGCTGGGCCGGGCAGAAGCCAGGAGACCGGACCTCCATCCAGACTCCCACGCGGGTGGTAGCGGCCTAAGCGTTTGGGCCTTCTTCTACTGCTTTCCCGGGCACGTTAGCAGGGAGCTGGATGGGAAGTGGAGCAGCCGGGACTCCAACTGGCACCCATATGGGATGCCAGCATTATAGGCGGTAGCTTAACTCACTGTACCATAGCACTGCTCCCTGGTGAGAAACTTTAATATTTATTTAATTATTTGAAGGTCAGAGCTACAGAGCAAGAGGGTGAGACAGACATACCACAGTGCCAACCCCTCAGTGATCCATTTTTACTTAAATTTTGTGGATGAGAGAGGCAAGAATCTAAATTCATCTTTTCCCAAGTGACTCGTGCCCCATTCCACCACTTCCTGCTGGACAGAAAACCTCACCTGAACTGCACCAACCTGATATCTGTTGCCCATTCAAGTGTATTTTTGCTGTTCTGTCACATCGATCATATGTTCATCTTTATGCCAATACTACGTTTTTTGATTACTATAGTTTTATAGTAAGTTTTGAAATCATGTAGGTAAATCCTTCAACATTTTTCTTCTCTTTCAGAATTACTTTGACTATTGTAGTTCATCGGCATTTCCATGAAAAATTTAAGATTGACTTGTCAGTATCACTAAAAATCCTTCTGCGATGTCAATAGAAATTGCACTGAACCTATAGAAAAATTGGGGAATAATCATCTTTAAAACAATAAATCTTTCAATCCCTAAGTTTGTTATACCTGACCATGTATTTAGGTTTCCCTTAATTTCTTCCAATTTTGTTTGGTTTTGTAGTTTTCAGCATGTACATAATGGACTTCTTCCTGGTCACTTGTCTAATTGTCTTACCTTTTTCACATGATTGAAAACAATTTTTCTTGCCCTCATTTCTGGACTGTTCACTGCCTGTGTATAGAAATGAGATCAACTTTTATTCTGACATGTATCAGTTTTTTTTAGATTTCTTGGATTTTTCTGCATAAAATAGATCACCTGTGAACAAAAAGCAATGTGCTTCCCTTCAGTGTTTTGTTGGCCTGCAGTACTGGGCAGAAAACCCACTACAATGTCGAACAGTGATGGAGGCAAACATTCTTGCTTGTTCTTTATCTTATGAGGAAAACGTCCAAGCAGTACGCGTGATGAATTTTTTTGGAGGCTCCATTTCGGGGTTCAAGAGTTCCCTCTCCTAGTCTGCTATGAGATTTTATTTTGAATGAGTGATGAATTATATCATCTGATTTTTCTGCATATATCACAGTCACGTAGTTTTGGCCATTTTTAAAAATCTACAATGGGTATAAAATGCTTAAACACTTTAACATTAAGCCGATCTTGCATTCATAATATAAACTCCACCTTGTCACAATGAACAATCAGTCCCACATGCTAGTCAACTTCACTCGCTGGTATTTCGTAAAGGACTTTTGAATAGATGTTTGTAAGAGACATTAAGTTGTAGCTCTGGCATCAAGGTAACATAAGCCTTATAAATTGAGTTTGCAAATATTTCTTCTCCATTTTCTGAAAAATTTTTGATTACTTTTATTAATTCCTTAAGATTTTGGTAGAATTCATCAATCAAGACTTTGTTTATGGGAAGATTTTAAGTTACTAATTCATTTTCTTAAATAAGCCTTGTCAGATTGTCTATGTCTTTTTGAGTCTTGGCCACTTGTACCCCGGGAATCCCTCCGTTTGTCAGCAAACCCCTATTAATGGTCTTTCCTTCGTGCTTCGTGAGGACGGTAGTGATGTCTCTGCTTTCAGAGGCTGGCGGTTTGCCTTTTTCTTTCTTAGCCCAGCTGAGGAGTAATTACTTTTGTTGGCCAATTCAAGAAACTGAGTTAGCATTTGTGGCTTCTATGTTGTTGGTGTGATTTCTGCTATTGATTTTCAACTTGACATTTTTGCTGTTCTTTCTTATATTTGACTTGGGATCCATTTCTTCGGCTTCGTTTTTTCTTTGATTCTGAATGTGGAAGCTTAGAATACCTT